TCTAGTCCACCCATTTGCTATATTTTCTCGTTTGTTTTACTAATTTTTGACCAATTAATAAGCATGTTTTTGTTTTAGAAATTGATATTCAAATTCCCCGCCATATTTTCATAATTTGGTGCATGCGCAGACGTTTTTCCGCGGTGTTGCAGAGTGCATGTAAAAAGTTATATTACAAGTGTTTTGCACATGCGCAGTGTCAACATGCGCCCGCGTGTGTGCCGCATTGTATTCTTTCCTCGAAATTCTTCGAATGGAAGTGGAATTCTATCCCTCTCGTTTGTTGGAAAATAATTTGACCAAGACAACGTTTGGTAAATCTCAGTAAAGGTAAGGGTATTTATTGTCATAAATTTGGTAACTCTATGATCATTCAACCTTCGTTTCTACTTGTGTATTTGCAATCTTGACCATCAAATCTTGTGCACGACTGCACGTGTCTTCAGACAATATTGTATATCTTTCTGTATATATTTCTGTATCAATTGTAATGGTTCGCTTTTATTCTTCAAGCCTAATAAATGCCTTTTCTGGCTTCACGTATTACTAACTTTGTTAAGTCTGTTAATGTGATTTTGACGTCTACTTTTTTATGGAAAAAATTGTTGTGCAACATGTATTTCATGTATGCAGTAGGTCAACACTCGGCCATCAAGTGCCTGTAGGCATCATTTTCCAGCAATATAAACCCTAGGTTAATCTTTTACTAGTGGGCATAAAATGGTTGCAACTCCAAAGAAAAACAGTGTTGATAGTACACAAGACAACCCAGAGGTCCTTAAACCATTTGATACTCTGCCACCAAGTACTATTGAAGATGAATGTCATGTATCAAACAGTGCAGCCGATGGTAGTGGGGATGAAGAGCCACCACATCCTAGTAGAGATGAAAGACTCGAAAAGCACAGGATGCAATGCCAGAACTTGATCACATATCTAACCACGAATGTGTGTCCATCTGGATTGACAAAAAAAGAAGTGAGGAATATAAAAAACCAAGCCAAAACTCACCAATGGGACATTAAAAGTAAGATATTTAATATTTTACCAGTACAGTTAATTTATTTGGCTACACTGTGTAGCTAAAGATAGTTGAGCACACTCTGTCGAAAGTAAAATTATATGGGAATCACATTGTTTTCCTAGAACTGGAAATACTGCAGATTTCAATTGATTGAACAACATTCGCCAATGTCGCTAAGTGCAAGCCCTAACAGTAACAAGCAAAGTTCGAGTACCTAGTATAGCATGTTTACTGTCAGCAGTATAGGAAGGAGTTTTGTTAACAGGAAGACTTTGTCAAAGGAATTAAGACCCGTTAATATTGATAAAACAATACGGAATGACGCAATATGTACATACTTCTGAGGCCATCCCAAAGGGTAGAGCCAAGGGGGTTAACATCCAGCTTCGTCTGCAGGGTTTCATTCTTGAATGACCCAGTCCCATATACCAAACTATTTTTTGTTGTGTTTAAGGAAAAGAATTTATCTATGTTGGGGCAAAGAAACATTTGAGAAAAAAAGTTGTGATGGATGTCGAGGAGATTTCAGAGATTCTACATCAGTACCATTCCAATCCAATGGGTGGGCACAGTGGAATAAATAACACTCTGGCAAAAGTGTCCCAGTACTATATTTGGATTGGTATTAAGGAGGATGTAGTTGAATATGTAAGTAACATAAAAGGAAAATTGGTTAACCCTTTAAGTGGCAATGCCCCCAGATGCACCCTACTTTATTATTTTACTCTGCCTAACGCCAGGCTTATTTTGATAAACATTAGGGAAAATGAAAACAAGTGTAAATTGCCTTTATTAGTGACGAAACACTTTAGATCAGAGGTGCTTATGTTGCATAATTTTTAAACTATGAATTATTGGTCCAAAAGTATCCCATAAAAGGTCACAATGCACTGTTCTTACCTGAAGCCCTGTGTAGCATTTCCAAGGTCAATTTAAAATGTTTCATGCATTTTTTTACCATTATGCAATTTGTTATTTCTTAGTGTAAAACTTTTGATCGCTGCCAACGTTATGAGAAACTGAAAACCCAAGCTCCAGAGCTTAAATCAATTAAAGTAAACAAGGCATTAGAATTGGTTGGAATGGATCTTATTGGTATGCTTCTAAAGATGCTCAAATTCAACTTCATACCTTAAATCATGTGAATTAATTTGTGACAAATCTGTTTTTGAAATATTAGTTTTTGGTGAATCTGTAACTCAAATGCCAAATAGAATACTTACGTATAAGAATACTCAAGTATTTCTGAACGTTGATCTTAATATAATTATCTATTTTTGTTAAAGATTGTCAAATTATTTTTATTATATTTTCAAGGGCCTCTTCCTACTACTAATGCTGGGTACAGTATGTCCTTACGTTCACTGATTACTACACCAAATTTGTGGACTTCTATACTTTAAAAGAAAAAGTAGCTGCTGGGATAGCACGCTGCATCAAAACATTTGTTTGCAGGTACCGTAAATAAAGTTTGTACAGTGCTTGAAATGTAGGCTAGTAGCTCTCTATATGCAAAGCTTACCATTACAATGATTAGGTACGGTATGCTTGAAGTGGAATACAGCCTTTATTAAGGCATCTAGTACAATTGATGTAATAACATATGATAATGCTAAAATGTTTTGTTTGATTATTCTTGTAGATGGGGTGCTCCATGCAGACTCCTGTCAGACCAAGGACGTGAATTTGTGGCTAAGGTAATGCCCATGTCTCCCTAATTAATTAACATGCAATAATACATCCTTAAAGCCCATTCTCTACTAGGTCAATTTGTTTGTGCAAACAGTACAAAAGTAGAAAATGATGTGTTTATTTTGTGGCAAATTTTTTCGCTGACCAATCACATTACCAGTGAAGATTTTTCTCTTTGTGACAACAAATTCACCTCTCTAGAGTGAAAATTAGACAAAATGCATAATACATCCCTAAAATTGCTGGCAGAGGTATGCAGTCTCCGAGTGCCCTCTAGTTGGATTTTGCAAATGTTTGCAACTTTGCATGCACCTATAACTTGGTGAGATTAAACAATTACAAGCTTGCTTGTGTTTTCAATAGGTCAACACAGAGGTTTGCAGGCAGTTTGGTATCACTCGTTCTGTAACAAGTGCTTATCATCCACAAACCAATGGTCTTGATGAGCGGACCAACCAGACACTCAAAGTGCGACTGGCAAAATTAGTCAATGAGAATCAAAACAACTGGGGTGACTTTTTGGAAGAAGTCGCATTTTCAATTCGGACACAGAAACAAGGTTCAACAAAGTTCAGTTCATTCTTCCACATGTTCGGTCGACATCCCAGGACACCAATAGAGGTACTGTAATTATTTGAACCCATAAAATGTTGTAATATGGACAAACTACCCATGAGACCAACATCCCCAATTGCAGTCTTAATTTTCATCTGCCCTCAGTCACATTTGCATTCAAGCTTTATCTTGCACCACAAAACATGAACCTTTATGAGTGTTTAAAACAATGACTAATTATAGATGGAAAATGTGGCAGAAGAGGATGGCATTTTTGAGTTGGAAACTCCCGCGTCTGAAATCTTGGAAGAGATGACATATGACCGATCAGAAATGATGAACTGTGTTGACCAACAGGTGTGTATTATTATTATTGTTCCTGATGTTTGTCTTTTTTGTATATCGTAACAGCACTTGTGTTTTGATATGGTCTAGGTTTCTTAACATACAGTACCGAAGATATCAATGAGTAGGAACAATATTTGATTAAAATTAAGTTGTAACTATTATGAGCTAACTTTCAGAAAACAATGCAAAACTCTTCTCCTTGTTTACAACCTAGTCCAGCATCAACAGTGAGCAACTTGGTGTATTCTTGAGTCTGAAATATTTATAAATAAATAATAAAACAATCCTTGAATTGGGTTGGGACTTGGCGGAGAAGGAAATTCCGGTGCTTTTACCTACGTAAGAAACATAAAGTCAAGGCCAAATTTTAGCTACTAAAAGGAAAGCAAAGTTATTCACTTCTCAATTCAACCTTTCTCGTGATCGAGTGAAGACATACGAATTTTCTTTGACGTTTTGGACTTCTTTCTTTTACCTTTATACAGGTGAGATTTTCAATTATTATTATATTATTCTTATATTTTGATACTTTTAATTTGGGTATTATGGAATTGTCACGCCCCAAAGTTCTTGTTTTTGGACACTCGTTTGTCAAACGTCTCCATCGCGATTTGCGATCTAATTTCGACGTCCGTGCGGCCGTTAGTTTTAATATACAAAGGGCCTCCGTCAAATTGCATGGAATTGGGGGACGCACAGTAGACAAGTTGATCGCGTTCGATTTAGATAAAGTTCGTTCATTTCGGCCTGCCATTGTAATTTTGGAAGTGGGTACTAACGACCTTAGCCATAGCAAACCCGAAGTAGTGGGTTCCAAAATCGATGACCTCGTTCATCTTTTACTTCAGCTCCCTTATGTTGAGATAGTAGGGGTTTGCCTCATTACACATCGGGCAGCTTCTCCGGAGTTCAACAGGCAGGCGTTTATTTTGAACCAATATTTAGAGGTCGTTCTGGACGGTGTTCCCAACGTTTTTTGCTGGAGTCATAAGGGATTCTTACAGCGCGTAAAATCTCCGTTTCTACCAGACGGTGTTCATATCAATCGTAGAGCGCAATACACGCTGTATTGCAGTTATCGCGGTGCTATTCTTAAGGCTTTAGCAAGCCTTCCTGGTTGTTAGTCTGTTATCTTCGGTTGTATGTCTTTCATACTTTTATGTCACCAGATACTGTTTAATTTTATTTAGATTTCTTCTTGCACGAGGCTACGCCCTCACACTTTGATTTTGGTGTTGGCTACGTCCACACAGAATATGTTTTATTTGGAGAAGTACTCCATACTTTATAATCCTTGTGAGATTTTATTCTCGTTTATTTGTGATGGCTACGTCCTCACACGTGTTAATCTGAGGCTACGTCCTCATTATTTCTTAGTGGCGTTTTATTGGGCGAGTGGTGCGGCCACTTTGTTGTGTGCCATGCTCGACCCAGCCTACATTGTAGTTTTATTTTATCTTGTTAGATTTTATACTTCATAAGCTTTTAGTATTCTCCCACTACGTTTCTGAGTGTGTTTTTTAGGAATTTTACCATGTCCGCCACTCGAAATCAACGTGCTCAGCGACCAGTATCGGTAGCCGTACCACCAGCACGCCGTTCCCATCGCGCTCGAGCGCCGCGTGCCTCAGGAACAACCACGACGGTTCCTTCGTCCAGTTCTCCTCGGCCAGCAACAGCTGCTCCTCTTGCTCCAGCCTCGGCTATCACGCCCCAACAGCTCCAAGAGATCGTCAGCTCCGTAACCGCATAAGTGACTCGACGCCTGCAAACTGTAGCAACTCCAGTGCCTGGTGTCCACGCAGTCCCATCGAGTTCTCCTTCTGGACCTGCTGCCTCAGTTACGGAATCGCCTATTGTCCGCATCGCAGAACATGTTGCGACTCCTCCGACGGCTGTGGCGCAACTTGCTGTTTCCAACGCTCTTGGTTCGGCCCACGCCACAATTTCAGGTGAGACGTTTTTGGCACCTAATTCTAGCCATGTTCAACCAACGCAGGAATATCACTCTATTAGTTTACCTATAGACTGTCGGATTTCCATTAAACTTAAAAATAAAATTTGGAACGATGAATACATCGATTTCGGGTCTTTGTTGAGCAATCCAATGTCAGATAACAAATTCCATTTGAGCTTTAGCTCTTCTGACGCCGGTTTACCACCATCTCTTTCAGTAGAGCCGATAAGTAAAGCCAAGAAAATAACAAATATTTCTGTTTGGATGAGTGCGTTTCGCATTTTTGTAGGGGTTTATGCTCAAAAGTATCCTCATGAGTCCCCCGCACTCATGAAATACGGGGACATAGTACAGGACTTGGCAGATCGGGGTCAAAATTGGCGGTTCTATGATGAAAACTTTCGCTTTTTGCGTCAAACCCAGCGTAGTTTGTTGTCTTGGGCCAATGTTCACTGGGAATTGTGGCTGCGATCGCACACTGTTAATTTTAGGGTGTTAAAATAACACCAAAAAGTGGTGTTAAAAAATTAGGTAAAAAATGACACTACTTTTTGGTGCTATTTTAACACCACTAAAAAAGTGTTAAAATAACACTAGATATGGTGCTAAAACAACACCCATTTTTAGTGTTAAATTAGCACTAGTTTTTGGGGTTAATTTAACACCTGTTTATAGTGTTAAACTAACACCACTTTTAAGTGCTAAAATGACACCAGTTTTAAGAGTTAATTTAACACCTATATTGTGGCGTTAAAATAACACCTGATTTGGCAGTGCCAAAGCAACAGCTCTTCCTATCTGGTGCTAAAATAACACCAGATTTAAGGTGTTGATTTAACACTTGCAACCAGGCACATTAAGACACACACAAAAGAGAAATATAGGTTCAAAATTGGTTAATATTATAAATTACTCGCTGACAAGAAATACCTTTAACATGCATGAATTTATATGAACTAAGTATTTATCACGATTAACAAGCTCACTTAAAAGTTGTTGTACAGAAATTTTGTTCTCGGCATCAGCAGGGCGGTTTAAAGTGACAGCTTCTAGATTGTAGGTTAGAACATGGAATGTTGCAATAAGTATGTGGAATATTTTTACCAGCAAAACGCAAGTAAATTTCCCACGGCAGCAATGTACAATGGGTCCAAGGATGCAATGTCACCTGATGCCAAGATTCAAGGATAGCTATAGGTTGATTTCCTCACTTCTTCATCAATGGACAATGGGGTCGTCATCCTAAAAGTATTCATTTTCACATTAGTCTATACAGTATATATATTTAGTAATTTTAAATGTTGTCAAGTTCTAATGCAAATGCTGTATTCTGATTGGCTTTACGCTACTCGTTATCTAATTGTCAATGGGATAGCTAGCTAGAGCGCAAACCTTCTCTTTGTTGAGACAAATAAGCATTGATCACATGCAATGATAGGATAAGAGATGTGCCATCTCACCTTAACACTACATGTAGCAATTTTAATTACTTCAAAAGGAGTATGCACAGTATATAACAGAGGG